TCTCATTGCACCTCGACAGCGAGGCAGTGGAAACTCATTCGTTAAAAATGTTGCTCCCATGGACTCATCGCGCACTGCTCGAGATTATTCGCGCGAACCGTGAAACGGACGCAACCATCCAAATTTCTTCATGAGACCGAGCCGTAGCGCACCCGCGCCCTGCAGAAGGCCCAAACCGAAACGTAAACACTCGCGTTCGTCTTACGACGTTGTCGGAACAAGCGGAGAGACGAGACTTCCGTCCGCGGCGTCCCAATTCGTCTCCCTCTGACGTAAGGGCGTATCTCTTTCTCCACACGAGCCCCCGAAAGCACGGAGTTATACACTGGAAAAAAATCTCGGTGTATTTACTAAGAAAAGGGTAAAATTACCAAGAATTCAAGGTTTTATTTGATCCCAGTTTTTTCTTGGTAAAATTACCATTTATGGAATTGGTAATTTTACCGAAAAATCTCGGTAAAATGAACCACTAGACAAGGTACGAATTTAAGCGATCTGATACATGTTTCTTAACCAGAACTTCACGTAGAACATGATTCACACAACGAAAATGACTGAAACCAACTCCTAACGAAAATAATAACGTTGTTATTTCACATTGGTTACGAGGAATTTGAACTGCCCGCTCACAAGAAACTCAAAGCTCTACGTGAGTCAAACCGGGCACTACAACGGTTTCAGCAAGCTTCTCAATCGAGCAATGCTCATTTCCCACCATGTGTTTTTCAAACTATAAGTAATTTGCTATAGCTGAGCCAAAGCGTCAAGATTGAGGTTGCCAGATTTTTCTATCGCAGAGACGTTCATGATGACGTTTAGCGCGCGATGTGAACCACGTAGAGCATTGAGTTTTCATGAGCGGGTGGTTTGAATTCACGCATCAAGAATCATAAAATATCTTCGGAAGGAGTTGATTTCGATAATTTTTGTTGTGCGCATTGTGTTTTACGTGAAATTTTGGTTAAGAACATGTATCAGAATGCTGAAATTCGTACCTTGTCTAGTGGTCCATTGTTGAACTTTCTCGGTAATTTTACTGGACCTCGGTAAAAATGCCAATATTTTTTATCGACTGTGGTAAAATTACCGGGATAAAATGGCAAAGTTACAGGGAATTGATTACCAATGATAGTGGTATTTTTACCTGAAAAAAAAACAGTAAAAATACCGGTTTTAAGGTAAGCTTACCAGTCTGTCTTGGTAAAATTACCAATAATTGGTAAAAAAAATTGAGATGGTAAAGGTACCAACGGACCTTGGTAAAAACGCCGAGAATTTTTTTTTCAGTGTATGGAGCATAGAGCTCACGTGGGAACTGGGAATCGAGATACGCCAGAGGAACTGTCCGTTTGGCGGCGCATGCAGAGGCGTAATTCAATCCGACGTCGCTCCCGTCGCGAGCAGCTTTCTCAATTTTCCTCGGGAAATTTTCCGTTTTGTATCTGGAAGCGAGCCGCCGAAAATGAATCGCGGTTGAGAGAGAGGTCGTTTCAGCCGGAAAAGTGCCGGCCGTCTCGGTGGCAGAGCCGACCGGCTCCGGGTTGAGAAAGGTCACGGTCCGTCGGCTTGTCCACCCCGGCCGGAAGCCGCGCTTTTGCAAGCTCCTTTCGTCCTCGTCGCTTGGAGTTGACGGGAGGTTTGCCTATAACTGCAGGACTGAAGGGGAAATACATGGGCAACTGGAGGTGGATCAGCCTCCTGTGGGGGGGGGGGGGGGGATAGGGGGCGATCACCTCCAATTGGCTGGAGACCTCACAGGGTCCGCATTTTTGGAAAAATTTAAAGAGGGATATATTTGACAACCACAAAAAATCTTGCAAAGCCTCTCCGAGCCCTTTGAACATCCATTTGAACATTTTGTTGCTTCCCTGACGAAGAAACGTAACTGCATTCCAAGGTCGCAAAGTTGACTCAAACATTTTAGTTTTTTACAAAATTGTACCCGTGCAATTTTTGTCGTAAATTTTCGTAATAATACGTGAGATCAGGAGAAAAATCAGTGAAATTTGCAATTTAAAGTGACCAAAATTCTCATGCATGGTAAAAATGCACTTTGCGAAGGGACATTTGGCAACATTGAAATGTAGTTATGTTCTTTCGTGAAAAAATCTACAATTTTTTCTTTTTATCAGGGAAGGATCCAAATCTTCTTTTCGGCAGGGCCCACACCGCAGAAAATTTGGCCAATTGTTTGCTCTGTGAGTTGCAATTGTTTGCATCAACCGTCACTAGGCGAAAAATATGCGGTCGTTCAAGTATTACGTGAGGAATTTTTGCCGACTTTTTGCGCCCCCTCACGAAGAACCCGTGAAACAACCTCTCGTCTCCCTTACCTTTTTGAATTAAATTAGAATGCCTTGTTCCCCTAACCGCCAAGTTTTCAGAAACTAACGGAGAAAGCTAGATCATTTTCAGATCACATATCAATTTTTCTCATGATTTTTTCTCCCTTCTAAATTAGGCAATGAAGTGGCAAATTCGCATAAAACTTGAGTAGACTCCGCCTTCACCTTACCAGACCCGGTTAGACAAGCTTAAAGATCTCTCTCCCCAAATGGCTTACGTAATCATGAACGGCCCCTAACGTTGATCTCCAAACATATCTTTCGCCCGAGCCGATCAGCGCGGGGTCCGTTAAAATACATTGCCTCAGGTCGGAACGCGGAAACGGGGTGACGTCCGCGCGCGACGTCCCAGGTAGACGATGACGCGCGACGCACGTCGAGAAAGAAGGCGGCGGGCGTCGCGACGCGGCTCGGGCGTCGGTCATCTTGACCGGGCGACGTCACCGGGCACGAGGCGCACCGCTCATTGACGTCACAGGAAACGACCCTCCGAGCCGCACAACCCCGTGACGTCACGGATCCGAAAACGGGCGGAGGTGGGCCGCCGCCGGCCGCGGCGATGTACCGCGCCGAGGAAGAAGTGAGAAAACTCATCGGCGACGGGGAGGGGGCGGGGGGCGGGGGTACGCGTACATTCTTGGGTGGTGGCCAGAGCTTATTTATAGTGCACTACGGCGGGCCCGAGCACCGCCGACATTTCATCAACGGAGCGGAACAATCAACCCCGTCGGCTAATCGGGGCGAGCTCCCGCGCCGCGCGCCGTTTCGCCGGGTTTTCCGACCCATCGATTCCCCCCTCCCCCGCGTTCCGGGCGACCTTTTCGGCCGGCGCCGCGAACCGCTCGCCGTTGCGTCGATCCGCCCAGCGATTTTGAATATAAGTTCTTCACACTGAAAAAAAAATCTCTGTGTATTTACTAAGAAAAGGGTAAAATTACGTAGAATTCAGGGTTCTATTTGATCCCAGTTTTTTCTTGGTAAAATTACCCTATATGGGATTGGTAATTTTACCGAGAAATCTTGGTAAAATTATTGAACTTTCTCGGTAATATTACTGGACCTTGGTAAAAACGCCAATATTTTTTATAGATTGTGGTAGAATTACCGAGATAAAATGGCGAAGTTACCGGGAATTTATTACCAATAAAAGTGGTATTCTTACCTGAAAAAAACAGTAACAATACCGGTTTTTAGGTTAGCTTACCAGTCTGTTTTGGTAAAATTACCAATAATCGGTAAAAAAAGTGAGATGGTAAAGGTACGAACGGACCTTGGTAAAAACGCCGAGAATTTTTTTTCAGTGTACAGTTCTTTAACTTTTTCGCGATGGGACGCAAAGCGTTCAGTTGATGGTGGATTTTGACGAGCTAATCTCGATTTTAAACGATTTTCTAAAAAATGTCTGGACTTAAATCCTAATAAATTTCTGCGGGTCGATCATTGAAAGTCTAAAGCTTGCAGCCCGATAAGACATCAAAATGCGATATATTGCATGGTAAATGGACTGAGTTAAGCAGGAAGGAACCAACCCACATTTTGGAAAAAATCGAGTCATGAGTGGTTTTGAACTCAACCACTGCTCTACTATCTGCCTCCAAAAATTCAAAGTTTTTGTTGGAGCAAATTTTGCAGAAATTGAACTTGAAGTTTATCTTTTACATTGAGTCTTATGCAGGAGCCAAACTTTAAACCTCTTTTTCTCGGTTCGATCCCGATGTGGCTTGGTTCCTTTCTGTTTAACTCCGTCCAAAAATAGGGCCGTGTCTTGTCTTGTCGAGTTGACGTAGTTTCAATAATCGGTCTATAGGGGTCTATAATCATCCAAGCTTTCCAAGAAATCGCTGAATCGGGGTTGAACAACTTCCGGGAGAAAGAAATGACTTTTTTTTCTTCCTTCTTTAGCCGAATACTTATTTCTCACCAAATATCCAATTAAATCGTTGTTTAGACGGAACTCAGTAGGATTTTGCGAAATGGGCGGGGGATAAGATCACAATCTTACAAAAATATAATGATTTTATTTTCATTCATTGATTTGTGAGTCTTTTTTTAAATTCCTTGTAAATCTTTTTTTCAGTGTAAATAAACAATTTAGGTGGTCACAGGCACCCAGTTTGCGTATGAAGGTTGTTCCAAATGTCCGTGTTCAGTTGCCCTCGGTAGCCCACTCCATTGAAGTGCAGGGCAGAGCCAGGGGAGATGGGGGGGGGGGGGGGCCNCGGAACCACCCCCCCCCCCCCCGTCTGTTGCAAAATTTTCTCGAGCATTTTCTCGTAATTTTCGATAATTTTTTTCCTTCTCTTGGACCCTCTCTGTTAAATGTTTGACTGTAGACCCGACCGCCCCCCATGAAAACATTTTGCCGACACCATTGCCCCCCTGATTGCCCTTATTTTAGATACTGATTGACTTTCGCCTGGGACGTGGACGTTTCGTGAAGCGCTCACCTCCCGCATGTCGGTTAACGACGTGTTGCATGGTTGAAATAGCGGAGGACGCTGTTCCGATGCGTGTTGCATTCTCGAAATGCCGCGAACGCACGGAGCACGTGTTGCATTGCATTGTTGTTCGCGCCCGATGTTATTGTGCATGCATGTGGTGGGTATCGAGAGCGGAGTTTCTGATGCGGTCACGTTTGTTTTTTCCCTGTTACAGTAGACGTGCCAGCGGCGGAGCAAGAGGAGCTCTTCATCAGGAAGCTGCGCCAATGCTCCATAGTCTTCGACTTCATGGACCCCATGAGCGACTTGAAAGGGAAGGAGATCAAACGGGCCACCTTGCACGAGCTCGTCGACTACGTCACCACCGGCAGAGGTGTTCTCACAGAGCCCGTCTACCCGGAGATCATCAAAATGGTAAACACGCCACGCTTCTACCCCCTTTCAACCCTTTTTCGTCCCGCGCAAAATTTTGCGTGGGCGTTTCCGGACCCCTGTCACCGATGGGTGTCAATGTACACTGGAAAAAGAAAAAACACGTTGGCTTTAGAGTCCAGACTCTTGAAAACATTGACAAGAAAAAATACTCTTGATTCAATCGGATTTTTGCTTAAATCAAAAGGAGATCCGCTCTAATTAAGAGGCTTGGTTCTTGATTTAAGCAAAAATCCGATTGAATCATGAGTATTTTTTCTTGTCGATGTTTTTAAGAGTCTGGACTCTAGATCCAATGTGGTTTTTTTTCTTCCAGTGTATGCCAATCGTGCAGAGGCATACACTGAAAAAAAAGTATGGTTTGAGGTACATTGATACGAGAAAGATAATCACCAAGAGACTCAACGATAGCAAATATCGTAACTCTAATCCCACTCACTAGATGTTTGGCAAATATTACCAGATGTGTGGTTATCTTCACCCTACGGTATCACTGTGTCAAAAATCAAGTACACTGGTGGTAGAATTTACCTGCCTTTAGTAAAATTTGTCATAATTTTTTATGCTGAGGACAAAATTTAGGATGATTAAGCGCAAAGACGCAGTTTGCGTTGATCCCCCAGTGTATAAGTTTTTCTTTAGGAAGAAGTGGTTTCATGAGGCCACGGAGAGCGGCAAATTTTGAAATTTTAATCCCCCTTCAAGAAAATTTGAGGAATTTTCTGGCACAAAATTCTAAGGCTGAAAAACGCGGAAAAATCTTTCGCTTTTACAATGCTTATAGGCGGATTCCAGATCAGGGCAAGATCAGCCGAGGTGCTGTAGCTCCACGGGCCCCTTGGGTGGTTTTTTTTTAAAATTCCAGATCCTCAAGGGGCCTGCAGTGTTAAAAAACGGATTTAAAAGACCCTAAGTCTGAAACTTAAGGTATCACGGGGCCCCTAAATTTTAGGATTCAGGGCCCCCAATAACCAGCACTCCGGCTCCTGACCGCGAATCCGGCCCTGTTTCAGATCCTGCCTACTTTTCTCGGCGTTATACGATATTAAGTGATAGTAACAATTATTTCGGTACCAGTAACAACGCAGTCTTAATCAGCATTGTTCGGGATCGAATAACTACTACCACAAAAGTAAAATCGTACTTACGACTAGAAGAGTAAGAAGGATCCGGAATTCACAACAAGCACTATAAAGACAACGTTTTTTGAAAGCATCGAAGGGGAAGTTGAGACTCTCAGTCCGCAGAAGGTTTCACCGGAGCTGAAAATGTCATCTGGACCATTAAGTGTATCATACATACAAACCCTGTAAAAGTTCTCAAAAATAGCGTTCGAAGTTTTGCTGAAACAAAATTATAGTAACCCGCACTGGAAAAAAAAGACACATTGGATCTAGAGTCCAGACTCTTGAAAACATCGACAAGAAAAAATACTCTTGGTTCAATTAGATTTTTGCTTGAATCAAAAGGAAATCCGCTCAAATTAAGAGGCTTGGTTCTTGATTTAAGCAAAAATCCGATTGAATCCAGAGTATTTTTTCTTGTCGATGTTTTTAAGAGTCCGGACTCTAGATACAACGTGTTTTTTTCCAGCGCGAGTTGACGGAACCGGGCCTTCATCGCACTTTCAGGCACCTTGCGCGTATTCCAGTCAATAGACGGAAACGTAGCAACGGCGCGGTGCCCTTGCACACCCATTCAACTCTTTGTGCCTCATTTGCTCGATACCTCGCGAGCCAAGCATCCAGTCAGGAAGGAGGGAACAGGGCACAGGGGAAAGGAACACTTCAGTTTATTTCTCACGGGTGTGTTTTTTTAACTCGCTCACGGCGGGAG